ATATCCCTAAAGTTTTCAAAAACATCACTAAGCAAATAAACATCTGTCATCAAATATAAATCATGGTATTCACCTAGGTTTTTGATATTGAAATTTTCCCATATTACTTTTGCCCTTGTGTGTTGTGTGTCTGTTATGCCTTCTTCATATAATTGACTGTAAAAGTCTTCTATACTTGGTAATTGCGATTCATTGAATTTATCAAATGAATTCATGTAGTCGTAAGGATAAACTCCTTTTTCAGTTAATAAGTCTAAATCGGTTTTATTTCTAATATATGGATTTGCTGATGAAAATCGGAAATTATCCTTCCAGTCATTCCGCTTTTTATATATAGGTTTATCATGTTCATCTTTACCTACTATGTCATATTTATTTAACTTAACTAATTTATCCAAAGATGCTGAGAGAAAAGCCATGCTATCTTTAAACTGTAATGAACCAAATGAAAATGTAATAAACTTTTCGCTATTTTGTGCTATTACATCTATTCTCTTATTTTCGTTCAATTCCTTATTTATTTCATTTGCTTTGCCTATTATTAAGTGAGAGTCATAGTTTTTTAAATTATGAAAAAATACTGGTATCTTGAAATATCTAAATGAATAATCCAAATTACATTTTTCGTGAGCACAACCTCTATAAATACCGGTAAAATGACAGTGGTCACGAACTTTTGTATCTTCTGGTTTAAAATTCTTATTACATATTGAACATACAGTAGCTTTTCTAAATTCTGCTTCTTGTTCATCTGTAATATCCATTGGTTTATTAACATTCATTTTATCAAAAATATCTTTTTTAATTTCTCTTAATTTATTTACAAAGTGGTCTAAACAATCCTCTCCACGGTATAAAAAAGGTTGACTTGTATTATCAATAGAATTTACAACATTCAACATATAACCGCATGGTTTATGTTCCTGATACGTGCCCTTGATGCCATTATTTGAATTTACAGTTATACACTCAAAATCTCCATAAACAACAAATGGACATTTTAATTTTGTATTGTATTTTTCAAATTCAATATAACTACCTTCTTTTGGTAATTTAAACTGTTGTCCATGTGTTGCCATACAACCAGTTTCATAATGTTTTGTTAATAAATCCTTTCTAGTAAAGGCATGAGAACAATAATGACAATAATGTTTTGGTTGGTCATTTTTGTTTGTTTGCCAGTTCATTAGACGACTTAGACTTTTAATAACTACATAATGATTATTATTATTGATTTCAATTTTCAAAAGGTTTATTTGATGTTTAGCATCTCTTGTTTTAGTTCTGTAATCAATTATAATTTTCTTTTCATTCAAAGTATCATCAATTTCATAAACATTGATTGAAACTAACTTACTATTATTTTCTTCAAACCTTTCAATATCTTTATTACCAGTTGGAAATTTAACACCTTCCCAGTTTAAGATATTGTCATTTAATTTGTTGTAATGGAACATTTCTTGGGAATTTGATTTATTAATTATATCAAACACTACACTTTGAACACTATATTTAAAACATTTGTTATCTTTGTTTTTGATATTAATACATGCCTTTTTTAGTTTAATCCATTCTGGTAAATCTATATAACTACCCGCCCTAGTTGGGTCATATTTGTCATAATGGATTGTTATTGATAATATTTTTTTAAATTGTAAATTAGATGCTGAACCTTCTAGTTTCTCTATGTTCAATAAAATCTCTTTGATTGATTTTTCAATTGCTTCATCCAAATCGGTTTCATTATATATGTTTGCCCTTGTTGCAGGTAAATTATAAAGTATCTCTGTATGTTTTATTACTCCATCATCATCATAATAATGATAAAATAAACCTTCTGCCCTTATATTCAGTTTCATTGCTCTATTAGTTTTCAAAAAGGTCAAAAGTCTATCTTTTTGGTGGTGTATCATTGATAGTGCCTTTTCACCTTGAAAATGTTTATTTACTAGTTTTATAGAATTAGCATAACTTTTGAAAGCTGATTGTTGGTCTGTTACTTGGAATTTATTTTTGATTGCATATTTTGTCATTGCATTTTTCATTCTTTGTTTTAGGTATGTTGAGCGCAATGTTTTTGTTGCATAACTATTATACTCATTAGTTCTTGCTTCTGATTTTAATTTCTTGTTCAAAACATTTGAGATGGGTTTTTCTTTGTTGTATCTAAATTTTCTACCATCTATAATTATTGATTTTAATTCCTTGTTTCCTCTTTTTGGAATTTCCGCTTTATCATTATTCAACAGATAATCTATAACATGTTTCATAATACTATACTATATAAATTTAATGTGTTTATTTCTTTAAGTGACTTTTTAGAAAATATACACTTAAAGAATTAATGCCTTAATATATTATAATAGAAATGGTTGAATTTACTAAAAAAGAGCAAGAAGAAATTATTAATGACTTTTTGAATAAAATAAAAGTTAATGACATTATCAGTAGTTGTAAATGTAAACTAATAAATGAAAAAACTGGACTAACTAAGTTAAATTTACCTAATCCAATTGTTAAAAACATTTGTGATTTTAATTATGTTGAATGCGAGAAATGTTTTTATTAAGAAATGCAAAGCAAGTTTTACATAAAAGTAATTTACATTCAACATTGAGACAATGTATTTATGATAAATACAAATTGAAATTTGAAGAAAATACATTTCTAAATGATGACTCATCATTAAGAACATATTGTTTTATAAAGTTAAATACATTTCCTACATATGAAAAAGTGAAAAAATATATACTGCAAGATAACGAAACATATATTTTAAAATTTTATAATGATATTAAATATTACTACGAACAATCATATGAAGTTAGTTATGGTGGCAAAACTGGAACAACAAGACCAATTGAAGAATTTAATAATAAAATGATATTTAAATTTATTGATGAGTATGATTTATCAAATAATAAAATTGAAAATGATTGCAAGGAAACATTTTTAAACTACATAAAACAAAGAAACCAAGAATTGAAAATCATAATTGATAAAATATGTGATTATATTAAGGATGAACAGAAGAACAATATAATAGGTAAATTAATGTATGGTGATGTGATAAATGATATTAAAAGTGTTTTAGGAAACTGGAGCATAGGTTTTTGCATTTATGATTTTGCTGATAGAAAATATCCATTTAAAAATAATAAAAAGAACTTTAAACAAATACCAAAGATTACAAAGGAATATTTAAATACTAATGACTTTGATTAAAACCATAATATAATAATAACATGTAAAATCTTATATGTTATAATTATACTGTACTTATAGTTTGTAAAGATTGAAATATTTTAATTTTTATTGATTTGGCTGACTCTTTCAAAGTGCGTTGTTTGAACTTGGCATGCTCTTTTGATTTTTTCGTGCTTTGGCTGTTTGTATTTTATTTTGTTTGATACTCTTCTGATATTTTTTGTTGGTATGTTGCTTTGTTTTTTTTTTATGTGTGTTTTTGAGTTTGTGTTCTTTGATGGTTTTTATTTTTGCTGTTTTGTTGGTATGCTTGTTTGAATTATTTAATGTTTTATGCTTTGATTAAATATTTTGTTGGGGGTTGTTCTGGTTTTTGAGTTGCTTGGTGGTTCTTATCTTGTTTTCTGTGAATTTTGCTGATTTTGTTGTATGCTGTTTGATTTTTTGGGTTTGATGTTAGAAGTGCCATTTTATGTATTTTTTGGGGGGGGGTGGGGGGGGGCTCCCGGAAAAAGAATATCCCCGGAGCCGAATCGGTGGAGTTTGGTTTGGGTGGGAAAAACCCAGTTGGCCGCTGGCAGAAGCAGAGGTTCAAATCCACCAGAGCCATTCCAAGCCACCGACCAAGGCTTGCCGGATCTTTGGTGGTTGTAGACATCAAGTCCGAGAACGGCCTATGCGCAGCGGCGACATGTGATTGAAGGTGAGTTTTCCTGTGATAGCGGTGAGGTTTGGAGGGAAACTTTGCAGGGCGGGGTGTTGGGGAGGGGCAGACTTATGGGGAATGGCGGGGTGTTGGGGAGGGGCAGATTTATGGGGAATGGCTTGTTTCTGTGCAGTTGGGCACATTGGATCACACCTGAAATAAGAATTAACCCCCGGAAAGGATGTTCACAGTGAGTTCGTTTTACCCTCAACCAGTGAGCTCGTCATGAACTGCATGGTCAATGCAGTGCCCCACTGACATCGGATGTTGGTGAGTGATTGAACCATGCGGGTGCGGGTCCCACCCACCAGTTGTGTGTTGAATGTTCGCCCTAAAAGAAGAGTGAATGCCAAAGCAGTTTCCCTTGTTCTATCCTACTTTAAGGGAATCCCCTTCTGGTTCATGCCCAAAACCCGGACTTGGTCATTCACTACCTGTCGCACCAGCAAGAAAATAATCTGTCACTACTGGATGCAATTCTATTTTGTGCAGGGAACCTGAGCAAATGAAATGAGCTGGAATGACTCCCAACAAACCATTTTCCTTTTAGAAGCGAGTAAAGGTGCATCCATCTATGCCACGGTGTAAAAAAGGCTGATTTCAAAAACACAGGCCCCATGGCGGCGGGCCGCTCTTTTTCCTTTAGGGAATCCGGACAACGGTTCATTATGAAAGCCCGAACTCGTCGTCATTCTCTACTCGTCGCAGCAGCAAGCTGCAAGATACTCTTTTGCTCGTCAATTGCAACTTAAGGGGAAATCCCGAAGCTTACCCCCTCAAAAAGAAGCCAACAGAGAAAACAACAAGCTAACCAGGGAGAAAACGAAAAGCTAGCAAATGGAAGCTCCTCCCCCAAAAAGAAAACAGAGGACAAAACACCAACGCTGAAAAACCATTCTCCAGAAAGGGAATCCGAACAAACATAATAATAATAGTAAACAATAGTATTTTTTATTTAACGGTTCCTTCCCCCAAAAACAACAACGGTTCCCTTTTTCCCTACCTTTTCGTTCACCTAAAAAAAAAGAAGAGAAAACAAAAAAGAAACAAACAACTACCTGCTGCTTCCTGGCCTTCTCCTGGAGAGGTCCGGGAGCTTCCTCTTCCTCGAGGGCCTGCTGCCGCTGCGAGCCTACGGCGCCGAGGACCGCCAAGTGCTGAGCTTGCCCCCGGCCCTGCGGCCCCAGACCACCGGGCGGCGCTGCTACCTCTCCGTGCGCCCGGGCCGAAACCCGTTTCGCGCGACAAACGCGAAACGCGCGCGGGGCGTTGCGGAAAGAAAACGGGGAGAGACGGGTGGACCCAGGAGTGAAAAGCAACAAAAAGGGCCTGGATGTAGGCGCAGCCAAGTCAGAAGCCCAAAACTGCTGAAAGGTCAACTGAGTCAACGTGTGCTTTGTCTATGGTTGAATTGGGAGTGACAGGGGTCCTGATTTGTTCATTCTCCATTTGCGAGCGACAGGGGGACAAGCTCGAAGTTCCCGCACACAAGCCAAGGGACGCCAAAATTAATCCCGTTTTTAGAAGGACACCCATTTTTAGACCTTGACTGTTTCCCCGGGGTCAAGGGAATTCCAAAACACCTTGGTCCAGGGGGAAGGGAATCGGTGGGCAAGGGATCGCTGCTCAACCTGAACATCTCGCTAGTTGGAGTTTCTTGCATCTTGGTTGGCTCTTATTCTATTGGGAATTTCGGGGAATAGACACCCAGGATCAAAATGTGGGTGGATGAATCGCTTTGCGGCTTTTGATTCAATCCCTCCAAATGGCGGACACTGATGTGGGCTTCAGGTTTCATGACGAAGCTTTCCCCGAAATGCCGAACCTTGGCGCAAATCGGGACTTAGCTCCGCCCCAGAAAATACGTCAGTGGGGGCCTGAGCAGAGGGCCAGCGCAAAGACGCTCGACCCGCACTGGTGAGCTCAAGGCGAGTTTCAGGGGAGACACGGGATGAGGACCCCATCGAGCCTTTCGGGGTGGTTTTAATGTCAAGCGTTTTTTCAGCGCCACAGTCAACAGCGAACGGTTTGAGGTGGCTGTGTCAACTAGTTGTTGTAAGAAGTAAGAAGCCGGTTTGATTCTGAACATAGTTCTGGGATGCACATCTAGCAAGAGCTTCATGGTAACGAAGGCCCGACATGGATTCAGAGTCGCCTCTGAACCGTGATTAGGCTCTTGTGTGGAGCAGGAGTTGCTTGTTGCAAAAAGCGGTGCCGCTTGGAGAAGAAAACAAGAGGCTTGTAAGAGGGGCCCTGGTAGCCACCAGTAATTATCTCAGTCCTAAGCACAACTTGGTGACAAAGGGATCCATGGTCAAAAGACTTTGGGTAGAGATGCTCGTGGATCTTCAGTGAGATGGACAGCCAATGAAGGGATTCCTAGATGATTTAAAGTAACCTTGGTTGACGAATATATAGAGGTTTGTGTGTGTGTGTGTGTGTGCGTGTGTATTGCTCAGAGCGGATCCTTCGCCGGCCCCCCTGTCAGTTTCCATGATTGGACGGAGGCGGCATGGGAAGACAATGCGAGCCACCAAGTTAGGACTTCTTGGCTCTCAGGAAGTAAGTAGACCTTCCCCCGATGACTAAACCATCCCATTTCCTGAAAGGGACTTCTGCCATCCATGGACTACCTTCCCCCTTAGTCATCCCATCTCAAAGGGAATTCGTGGCATCGGCTTCGGGACTCAGGCACTTGGACGATTTATTTCTGTTTGAGGAGCTGAACAATGTGAGCCATCCACTTGCACCTGGATGTTTCAGGTGCTTCTTGGACTTTATACTTTGGGTGAGACCCTTTGAGCGGG